ATTTATTTATTTATTATGTATACAATATTCTGTCTGTGTGTATGTCTGCAGGCCAGAAGAGGGCACCAGACCTCATTACAGATGGTTGTGAGCCACCATGTGGTTGCTGGGAATTGAACTCAGGACCTTTGGAAGAGTAAGCAGTGCTCTTAACCGCTGAGCCATCTCTCCAGCCCCAAGAAAAAAATCTTTTGCTTTTTGAGACAAGGTTTCTCTGTGTAGCCTTGGCTGTCCTGGAACTCACTCTGTAGAGCAGGTTGACTTTGAATTCAGAGACCCTCCTGCCTCTGCCTCCTGAGATTAGAGGCATGTGCCAGAACTACCTGGCAAAATTTAATTTTTTTCCAAGAAACGATTCATCCAACAATAACATCTTGATGTCCATGAAAATCTAGGCACAAGTTAATCATCTCCTTCAGATGACACAATCCAAGCGTGAAGGTGATTAGAGCTCCCATCATGAGGGGCACCTGGCGTCCTCAGAAATCTCATTTCCCAACTCCGTTTTGAAAGGCTCTTTGCAATTTGACTTTAATTTGCCCTGTAGTTGGGCTTTCTGTCACCCAGTCCTTGATAGCAGCACTGTCCTGGGGGCCCAGTTTTCCCACTTCTGGCGTTGTAAAAGTCTGCCTTCTCTGCAAACAAACTGAAGTTCTTGTGGCATCTGCAGCCATCTTGCTTCCTATTTCCTTCCTGTTATGTTAGAGAAGGCTGCCTGTTCACTGTGGAGCCAGGAGTGGGAAAACTTGTATTTGCAGTAATCCTCCAGCCTCTGTTCCTGAGTGCTGAAATTACAAATGTGGGCCACCCTAGTGTTCCTGGAGGAGATTTTGGATTTCTACCTTTTTTTTCTTTTTTTTTTTTTTTTTGGTCTTTCGAGACAGGGTTTCTCCGTGTGCCTTTGAGTAGCCTGGAACTCACTTTGTAGACCAGGCTGGCCTCGAACTCACAGAAATTCACCTGCCTCTGCCTCCCAAGTGCTGGGGTTAAAGGTGTGCGCCACCACGCCAGCCCGCATGGATTTTTATCATTCTTGTGCCTTCCTCTCTATATCCCCGTATGAACTGGGTGGTCTTAAATAGGTGGGTGGTAAATAGCAAGTATTTACCAAGTACTTTCTTTTCGTAGGTTGGGATTGCCCAGGTAGACTCCTCAGCTGGATGGTGGATTTGCGGAGGCTGAGGGTGAGGTAACTAAGGCAGAAGGGGACTGAGTGGTGCTTCTGCCAGCACAGAAGCGCGCCCGAGCACAGCAAAGTGAGCTCTAGGGATCAGACAAACGAAGGATTTGGGTTTCCGTCTTACATTTAATTACCAAGGCGAAAAGTTAATATTATAATGCCGATTTCCATTTTGAAAAATCTGTGTTAGAAAGATGTTTGGTTGAGTTTCCCATAGCAGATGGAGAGTTAAGGGTGAGGAGTCGTGGCTTTCTTCCATTTTTATGTCCGCAAGGTAGGTGCCTGTTGGTTGAATAACAGATCGTGGAGTACTCCGGCTTCAGTTATTAAATCAACCAATAGGGGGTTTCCCCCACCTCCGGATTCCTCCCCACGGCTCCCCACCAGCCCCGCCCCACACGCCGCGTGTCGCGAAGGCGGCCGCAGCCAAGGGCGCTTTACGGCAGCCGCGTTGCAGCGGGGCGGGGCGCCGGGCGGCCCGCGCTTGACGGCAGCGGTGGGAGGCAGGCCGGCAGGCAGACGGGCTCGCAGGCGGGTGGCGGCGGCCGTGCTGGCTGCAGAGGGCGGGAGCGAGTGAGTCACTGTGCGCGTGTGAGGGAGGGAAGGAGCGAGGGAGCGAGCAGCCCGCGCCCGCCGCCCTCCCGCAGCTCTCGGCAGCCCACTCCCACCCCCCGCCACCGCCTGCCCTCCGCCCAGCGCCCAGGCCGGGCCGAGCCGAGCCGGGTCGGGCCCGGGCCATGCTGCTCACCGTGTACTGTGTTCGGAGGGACCTCTCCGAGGTGACCTTTTCCCTCCAGGTCGACGCCGACTTCGAGCTGCATAACTTCCGCGCGCTGTGCGAGCTGGAGTCCGGCATCCCCGCCGCCGAGAGCCAGGTACGCCAGGGGCAGCGAGCGGGGCCTTCAGCCGCTGCGGCCGGGGAGTTGGGGGCGGGGGGCGACTGGGGCCGAGTCCTGCAGCCGCCCAGAGATGCACCCACTGCAGCGAGGGGAACACGTGCACGGGTGGGCACCCCTCCCCACCTTCTGGCCCTCAGGAGCCCTGGATCCTCATCACGTACCTCCTGCTTCTCCGACCAGAAATACCAGTTTGGATCACTGGGAGATAGACACTGGTTTGGGGTTTGCTTATTTGTACCGAGTTCCTCCTTCAGTATGCGCAGTTTACCTGGGAACACACATATCTGTAGTTGAAAGTGAGGGGAAAAGTTTGAGACTCGCTCTGCCTCTGCCTTTGACGTCGCTAGAAATGCATGCGTTTCTGGTTAGTTTATTTATTTTTTTAAAAGCGATGGTTAGGTCAACTCAGTCTATTTGCTTCTCAGGCCAAAGCCCTCCTCCTCTCTGGTCCCCGTTCAGTTGGGTCAGTTCAAAAAAGCTCAGTGCTTTCGAAGGATATCAGCTTGAAAATGACCTACTGTCTGAAGACCTCCGTGGGACTCGGTGGCAAGGCGTTCAGTCCCTCTTATGTTTTAACAAGAAAATACATCCTCGAAATGTTTTGGAGCTCTCAGTAGTCTTTGTCAAACAGAATAATAGGTGGACTGCTCTGTAGCCTTTGCACTAAAACTCTTTAAGATTCTACCCAAAGTGGGCCTTGTTGGGCGTAGTCCAAACATTAGAAAATTGTAGACGATTCCCAAGGCCTCAGAATGTAAATCTGGATTTCCTTCTGCAGTTATGAAATAGTTCCAGAAACTATTGCCCAACTACTGCTTGTTCTGCCCTGACTTATGGCAAACATGTGTCAATATTTTGTTGAGACTTGTGATTCCTTTGCACAATGTGAACTTAGAACCTTGGCATACAACTGTTTCTGGAAGGATCTGTTTTGGGGAACAAGGTGTCACTCACATATGCAGTCTGGCAAAAGGTAGGATTAACCAGTTCCCCAAATTTCTATAGAAAAATTCACCCACAAAAACCTAGGACTCAATTCCTGTTGGTCAGCTTCATACTCATGGCAGTGGCAAACTAAGACCAAAGAGATTGTGGGGGGGACATCAGCCTTTTAGAGGGTCGATTGATTGATTGATTTTTTTTTCTTTCTTTTTTTTTTTTTTGGTTTTTCGAGACAGGGTTTCTCTGTGGTTTTGGAGCCTGTCCTGGAACTAGCTCTGTAGACCAGGCTGGTCTCGAACTCACAGAGATCCGCCTGCCTCTGCCTCCCAAGTGCTGGGATTAAAGGCGTGCGCCATCACCGCCCGGCTTTGACATTGTTTCTTTTCCCACAGTGCCCACATGCACTCTGTGTGTGTGTGTGTGTGTGTGTGTGTGTGAGAGAAAGAGAGAGAGAGAGAGAGAGAGAGAGAGAGAGAGAGAGAGAGAGAGAAGCATTCTTCGTCTGGGTTATAGGTGCACTCCCACGCCTGTGGCACTCATGTCAGTAAAATTTTCAGTAAATTAGGGTATCAGATTGAAAGATAATTGTAGGGTTAACGAAGGCACTGTCATCTGCCACTTGGGGATTTTAGGGGTGCTACTTGAAGAATTAGGCTAGCTCCAAATTCTTCCACTGCTGGCATCAACATTGGGTATTTACTTTCTTCCCAACGCAAGTTAGTGTGCTCCAAGTAGTGCTAAGCCTGTATTAAATAGCTGTAAACAGCGCCCTGTTTTTCAAGTTAGTGCTGTGGGCTCTATGTAACCTGACAACGTAGTGTCTATTTTAAGAGCGGATTTTTAAGCACTCAGGGGGTCGCTTGTCTGGCTTGCTGGCTTGCTGACTAGCCCCAATAGGCAGGAACAGGATCCACCCCAGACACTGAAGTCACTTCCTTTCGTCGGATCTTAAACATATCATTTTTTTGTTTGGTTTGGTTTTTGTTTTATTTTCCCCAGTCATTTCTTATTTGAGCTCCCCAACCAGTTTTTCTAACTTGTCCCTTCCTCTCAGATTTCTTTCCGGCTGTTTACTTCATTGGGCTTTAGTTTTTTCCATACCCATTCCTTTACCTGTTTCTGACTTCACACCACAGGTGTCCAAACATGTGTGAGTTTTACAGAGCTGCTTGGCTACAAGTCACACTTGCACTGAGATAGGATGTGTTTCACTTTAATCACATGTACAGGTGGAGATGGTTTCTGTTCTAAATTTATTCTCATGTAATAATTTGTATCTCCATAAGTAAAGTGGTTCAGATCATGCTCACAGTACCTTGTACATAAATTACAAAAGTGGCTGTTTTAGGCACTATACACGTGCATATTTTCTTGTGTGGTACATAGCAGCTACAGCTGTGTACACAGTTATATATGTGCCTATATACATTGAATAATAATGTGCATTATAAATATGCAGAATAGAACTCAAGGATAAAATAAGGGGGGAGTGTTGGCCCATGCTTTTAATGCCAGAATTTGGGAGGTAGAGGCAGGTGGATCTCTGAGTTCCAGGCTAATCTGCTCTACAGAGCAAGTTTCAGGACATCAAGAACTACACAGAGAAACCCTGTCTCAATCCCCACCCCTCCAAAAGAATACACAAGACTACATGGAAATGGGACTGAAGAGACAGTTACCGATTAAGAGCACTTGTCCTTACAGGGGTTTGATTCCCAGCACCCACACAGTGGCTCACGGCCATCTGTAACTCTAGTTCCATGGGATCCAACACCCTCTTCTGACCTCTGTGGGCACTAGACAATACACATAGTACATATACATACACGTAGGCAAAGTACACATACATAAGTCAAAATTAAAAAAGAAAAAGTAAATAGAAATAACTCACCCAGGGAGCACTGTTTGGAGCCCACCTTTCATCAGCATCGTCTGTGCTCTGTCTCATAGTAGTTCTGATGCAGTGACAATAAATTTAGAATAGAAACCGTCTCCACTTGTGCCGTGATTAAAGCAGGACATGTTCTCCCGCGGTGCAAGTGTGGACTTGGCAGTCAGGCAGGCTTTGATGCAAACTTGACTGGGCCGACCTCAAACAATTATCAGAACTTACCTTCACGTTAAATGTCTGGGTGGTTTTGAAACTAATTTACTTGTATAGGTGGTATGGAGTACAAGTCTGTACAGAATGGAAGGCCCCTCAATGAAAGCCATGTTTAAGTGGCAGCTAGCAACCATAACTGTGACCCTGGAAATGCCACTTTTGTACAGCTTACGTGGTTTACAAAAATGCTATTTTAGACCATGGAAACTGAAAGTTTCTATTGTGGCTAGTTTTGGTGTGTTTATTTCCTTAAGTAATTCATAGTCTCCCCTCGAGGGCCTCCACCTCTGGTAAATTCTGAATAGTTGTGATAGAGAGGTTGTAACACAGAAAATAATAAAGAATGCAGCCACTCGCTTATTCCTCATAACCCGTAACTCATAACTGCAGTTTGGGTGTTAGTTTGTTTGGTTAGTTTTTTGTTTGTTAATGTTATTTGAAACTCACAGTTCAAGGCCAGCCTGGTCTTCATTGTGGGTTTCAGGCCAGCCAAGGCTACATGTTGAGAACCTGTCTCAAAAAAACAATAGTTCTTGTTGGGATGCTGAGTGTGGTGGTTTACACCTTTAATCCTGGCACTTGGGAGACGGGCAGACACAGGTGGATCTGTGAGTTCTAGGATAGCCTTGTTTCAAAAAAAAATCTACTGGGTTGGGGATAGCTCTGGTAGAGTGCTTGCCTGCTGCACATTGCCAGCACTGTAGGAAAGAAAGAAGTGACAGCCCACCCACCCCGTTAATTGAAGGCTCTCTTTCAGAGACCAGAAAACATTTGGTGTCATGCTTAAAGGTTCTCGAGTTGTATTTTTGAGCTTGTAGCTAGGTGTTAAGGTTGGAATCTCGTCTGAAAGTGTTCACACTCCCTGGGTGTGAACACTAGCTGCTGCGTCAGGTCTGCAGATTTACACCTAAAAGTGTAGACTTCTGTTATACCCTCTTCTGACTGGCAGGGCAGGGCTCGGGCTCAGGTTTTCCACACTAGTTTCTGAGGTGGGGGACAGATGTGGTAGAGCACTGTGCTTGTGCCATTGCCAGCTTGCCTTTTGTTTGGCTGGTGGGGAGACTAGAAGTTGTTGATCCGATCATGCTCATATTGAGTTGGGAGGTGAAATGGGTTTGTTTGTTGGACTGCGTGTCTTCCTGCCTCTGCCTCCCAAGTGCTGGGATTACAGACTGTACCATCATGCCTGGCCTGTACAGGGTGATTTACTTAAGGACTTAAAATGTAAAATATTCACATTTCTTAGACTTTTTCAGCTAGGGTTTCAATAGCTCAGGCTGTCCTTAGCCCCAGCCTTCCTTCTTTATCCTTGCAGGTCCTGGGGTTACAGTCTTCATGTCCTAGTTAAACTGCTGGATTTCATTCTTGTGCATATTTGCTCTCTACCCAGTGTGGTGGCTAATTTTGTTAGCATAACTGAATTAGGCTTCCTGGGGGATTAGTGAATTACATCTCCAAATGTGTCTATGGTGGCGTTTTTCAGAGATAGTTTCATCCTGGGGCTCTGGCCTAACCTATGGATTAGCTAATGCTTTGATGAATTTGTAGTAAGGAATTATTGGGAGGTGGTAAAAGGTAGTGGGAGTCTATTTGGAGGAGGAAGGTCATTGGAAGCATGTTCTTAGGACATATCTTCCTGTGTCCTCTTTTCTGCTTTGAAATCAGGGCCAAACAAATAGACGTCAATGCCCAAGTAATGAACCTACCCATTTTTGAGGAAATGGAGTCAGAGATTCCATAACTTGCATGCATTATATATGCCTGATGTCAGTGACTGATAGAGCTTGAGTCATATCGCCGTCCCTTTCCTCTCTCCCTCTCTCTTAGATTGTTTTTGAGATAGGATTTCTCTACATAACTCTAGCTGTCCTGTAATTCTGTGTAGAACAGGCTAGCCTCAAACTCAGGTACAGAGATTTGCCTGTCTCTGCCTCCCCAGGCTGGAGTTACCACCTCTTTTGGCTTCTGTTGCCATCCTTTTAACAATTAGAAACTGGGGCTGGAGAGATGGCTCAGTGGTTAAGGTGCACTGGTTACTCTTGCAGAGGGCTGGGTTCCGTTCTTAGGACCCACATGATGGCTCACACATATTTACGATTCTGGTTTTAGAGAATCAGACACTCCTGGCATCTGGGCACCAGCCATGCAAGCAATAGACTTAGGCACATGAAAGTTAAATGCTCATACTCAAAAAAAAAAAAAATCAAAAAATAAAACATGGGAAAAAAAGGCCAATTAAGAAGATGTTAGACATTGTAGTATTTTCCTGTCCTTTGCAGACATCCCCCAACCCCAGTATTTCTTGGTGTTTCGAATAAGGACAGTTATGCGTGTATCCCGTACCCCATACTTAGACTTGAACCCAGGGGCTTCACATAAGCAGTCAGGCACTGCCAGTAGAGGTTTAGATCCTTAGCAGGGAAGGCTGGCTTAGAAGCCATTTCCCAAGGCTACTTTGGGGTGCTAGAAAAGAATGCCATTTTTAATGTCAAGCACATAGAGCACCCGCGTCATGTCTCTTTTTTTTTTTTTTTTTTTAAATATTTATTTTATTTATTGTGTATACAGTATTCTGTCTATGTATATGCCTGCAGGCCAGAAGAGGGCACCAGACCTCCTTACAGAGCCACCATGTGGTTGCCGGGAATTGAACTCAGGACCTTTGGAAGAGCAGGCAATGCTCTTAACCACTGAGCCATCTCTCCAGCCCCCTCCGCGTCATGTCTCTTAATAGCTGTGTGGTCTCTGTGTCTTCTGATCCATAAAATTGGACGAATGATCTCTGTTAAAATGATTGTGACACTCTGTGAGACAGTGTGAGGGTTAAGAGGGAGAATGGGAACTGGACTTGTTAGCCCAGGAGAGTTTCACTCAGTGGTAGCAGGGTGCTCTTTAAGTTTGGGTTTCAATATTACGCCCCATTGGAAGAGAATTCAGTAGTCTTGTGCTGAGCTTTTCCATGCCAGACAGACGCTCTCCTACTGAACCAAGCCTTATTCCCTAAACTGTTCTCATCTTCCTGAGTTTGATTCTTTATACATGAACACATTTTCTAGTAAGTGTGTCTTCCTTGGGAGACGAGTCATGTGTCTTTAAATACATTGCAGCTGACTCACTGAACCTGAGACGCTAGGGTAGGCAGGCCATGGGCCGTTGGTGATCTCATCACAGTGGCTTAATTGTATTGATGCCACCCAGTACACCTCAACCTGTGACCCAGGTTTGTGGTTGTTTTCCACTCACCCCCACAAATTATATGCGGTACAGTTCTCCATTGTATTACCAAAAAGAAAGAAGAATCAGTTTGAGATACTTAGATGAGTGTCATGACGAGGTGGTAGTGATGGTTGCAGTCATTTTTAGTAGCGTATAAAACTTGTAAAATTGGTTGGGCCGTGGTGGCACACACCTTTAATCCCAACACTCGGGACGCAGAGTCAGAGACAGGTGGATCTCTGTAAGTTCGAGCCCATCCTGGTCTACAAGAGTTAGTTCCAGGCCAGGCTCCAAAGCTACAGAGAAACCCTGTCTTGAGAAACAAAACAAACAAAAAAGCGTGTAAAATTGGACAGGCAAGTTCTGCTTTCTTGTCTCCAGAAGGATTCCATTTTGGAGGATTAGGTTTTTTTGCCCATATCACCATGAGATTAGGAGCAGAATGGCAGCATCTGCTCAGGATGGTTGGTGTAAATGGTGTTTGCTGTTCCTGTGCCCAGGAGCTTTGCCAAGAGCCTATGTGGACAGGTGCAGGAAGGCTGTGGTAGACAAATTGCCTAGTAGGTACAAGGCCCTGGGTTCAGCCCCCAGCACAGAAAAAGAACTGGAAGGAATATCTGCTATGATCAGTCCTGGTGGCCTGCTGGACACAGGACATTTAACTCCTGGCCCACCTAGTGACAGGCCCCTCCTAGAGTTCCTGGCTGAGTTAGTAACCAGCTCAGGTTGCTCAGTTTGTTTGTGGCGCAGAACAGAGCAAACGCTTAGGGAGCAAGATGTGCCAAGTGTGCCACAGCGTGTCCCATTGAATACATGAGAATGTAGGGACAGTTTCCATCCTCACTCCCGTGTGTGCCATTCTTTCTCACAGTACACTCTGCTTCTGTGTTGGACCCATTGAAAGTATTTCTGTTAATAGGACTTAGCTTAGCATGTTTTTCTTTCATGTTAGTTTTCTCTCATAAACATGAGAGCAGTAAAACTTCGAGGATGGTAGAAGAAAGGCCTGCTAGTGTGTAGACTCCCTGCTGACTGTACTCTGTATTCCCGTCAGTTACTGTAGTCACACAGTTCTCTTTCATCCTGAATTTCTTTTCTGTTTTTGTCTTGTTTTTTTTTTTTTTGCTTTTTGTTTTCAAGATAGGGTTTCTCTGTATAATAGCCTTGGCTGTCCTGAAACTTGCTTTGTGGTCCAGGCTGGCCTTGAACTCAGAGATCCACCTGCCTCTGCCTCCCGATTGGTGGGACTAAAGGTCTGTGCCACCATTCCTGGCTCTGAATTTCTTTTCTTTTCTTTTCTTTTCTTTTCTTTTCTCTTCTCTTCTTTCTTTCTCCCTCCCTTCATTTCTTTAATGATGTTTTTTATTTTATGTACATTGGTGTTTTGCCTGTGTGTATATCTGTGTGTGAGTGTCAGATCTTGAGTTACAGTAGAGCTGTCATGTGGGTGCTGGGAATTGAACCCAGGTTCTCTAGAAGAGCAGTCAGTGTTCTTAACCATTGAGTCATCTCTTTCTCAGATTTTTAAACTATGTTTTGTTTTTTTAAACTTTTTATTTCCTATTTTGAGAACTTGATCCTTGAGTGCTGTGCTTCCATTACTCTCACACACACCCCGTTCATGACTTGTTTTGTGATTATTGTTGTTACATATATAATGGGTTTAGTTTTGTGGGTTTTTTTTGAGACACTATCTCACTGTAGCCCTGGCTGACCTGGTACTCCTAGTGTTGGAGTTACAGGCATGTGCTACCACGCCTAGATAGCTAAAAGTGTACATTATTTGCTTTGTAGCAGACATAGCCAGAATATGTCATCCCTACTTCCCTGGTTGCTCAGAATGGAAGCTAAATTCCCTGCTATATGAATCAGCCCATCCTTTACTTGAGTAGACTTCTGGGCGGTGGTCATTATATACCAGGCTTTGTCCTAAGCTGATGGGGCAGCTGAACAAAATCATTGTTCCACATAGTGTACATTGTAGTTGACCAGATCGACGTGTAGCATATTAGTGAGGAAAGTAGTCTATTTCAAAATACATTGTGTTGTTCGGGATAGAACCCAGGGCCTTGTGGGTGTGAGAGAAATGCTATGTCATTGAGCTCCACCCATAGCCCGTGTCCAGGGTTCACTTTAAATGTGGCTTTAGGGAAGAGCACTGAAACAATGTTTGATCAGAAACCTAAACCAAGTGACAGGAGGAAGAATAATGGTCCTCACGTAGAGAAAGAAACAGAGAGCATGAGGGGAAGGTAGTGTGTCTCATTGGGACAGCAGTGGGATGAGGTCAGAAGCAGCCATCAGCCAAATCCTTTGGGCCTAGTAGGAGACAGGCAGGGCTTTGGGTTTCCTTCTAGGCATAATGGGAACACATGGAAGGGTCTTGAGCAGGGAACATGATGAAGAAGAAGAAGAAAGTGGTACCATGTTGCTTCTCCTCACTTTATACCACCGGATCTTCCCTTGCAGATTGTCTATGCAGAAAGACCTCTCACTGACAACCACAGATCCCTGGCTTCTTACGGCTTGAAAGATGGCGATGTTGTGATTTTACGGCAGAAGGAGAATGCAGACCCTCGCCCTCCAGTGCAGTTCTCAAGTAAGACCAAAGCTCATCACCTTCTAA